GAACATTCAGCCCCCACAACACCCACAACACCCACAACACCCACAACACCCACAACACCCACAACACCCACAACACCCATAGAGAGCCTCGACGGCGCTCGACGGGTGGCGCCCTGCAGCCCAACGAAGGCTGGATGGGAGAGGAGAGCGGACTTGGGCTTGGGCTTGGCTTTGCTGGGTGCCCAAGTTCGTATACCTACGTCGTACCTACCTACCTGCTGTACCTACCTAGTTACTCTAGTAGATACTCTAGTAAGATACTCTAGTAAGATACTCTAGTAAGATACTCTAGGGCACCTGTAGTACTCTACAGTCAATCGGTACGATAGGTGGTTGAAACCCCCCCCCCCTTCGCTCATAGGACAAGAGGACTGCACTGCACTCCCTCCCTTTTGCCAGCGAAGAAGCTTCGCCCATTCCTCCCGTCTTTTTGCCACCACAAGACCTTGCCTCACATCACATCAAACGTGCTAGGACATCATCCGGTTTTTACCCATCGCATCTTGCATGGTGCACAGCAGATGGGCAAACCACCAATGCCCATGCCCGATTTGACATTTCTGGCCATCTCGACGCATGTCGGATGGTGTAGCGAGGGCAAGAACGGGCACTTGCCCATCACACGCGCTCCGGACCATCGGTCTGGCTCCCTCGTTCCCGTTTGCGTCTAGGCTGGCTTGCATGCTGTCGAGCTGTCGAGTGAACAAGCTGCGGCTTAATGGCTTACTCGCTTCACCTCACCGGAATATGCAGGTAATGTTGTCAACAGACGATGCATGTGCTACGCTAGCTCACCTTTGCCAATGGCACATTTTCGGCTACGCTGCCTCCTCCCCCTCGCCCCCACCAAACCAATTCAAATCAAAACTATACAAAAGATTCGAGGGACAGAAAATAGACGCCTGAACGCGGCCGGGTATACCAAAACCATGCAACAAAGAAGGAGAAGAAAAGACAAGGGCAATTCTATAGTAGAGTAGACCTAGCTCACATCACTGCTGTACCCCAACACCTCGACCAAAACGTTGGCGAACGTACTCACACCCCACAACGCAACGAGTCCCCATCCAATCACCTTGTCCATCTTCCACCGTCTCATAGGCACCGCCACCAGCAGCCCTGCTAGCGTGAAGAGTAACGTGGCCCCCGATATTACCAACGTCGTGCTGACCGCGATGTGGTACGGTCGAAAGTGTATCCCTTGCTGAGGATGTTTGTCGTGACGGTGCTCGCCCTTGGTGATGATCATGTAGCAGCCACTCAGCCCAACACCGAGCAGGATATTCAGCATCGGTCCACCAAAGCAGGCCGACAGCGCCATGATGGGGAATCCAAGACGAGCCACCGTGATGTCCGCAACCAAGTCGCCCAGCGAATTGCCCACTGCAAAAATGGTCAATCCAAGAATAGCGTCGCTCATATTGAGAATGACTCCAAGCGTCCGCAACACGCCAACCACTTCGTTGGCAATCGTACTAATCCACGCAATGGCCACTGCGAAGCCAAGGAAGCAGAGGGCCGATCGCCACCCCGGCGGTCGATCCGGTGTCGTCGTGGTCAGCACAACCCCAAGGAAACACAGGGAACCGAGCAGCGAATATAAACTGTCCCGCACAAGTGCTTTCGCATTCTCAGGCTGGATGTTGGCCCAAAAGATGAGCACGATGAACAGAGGAGCCGTGAAGATTTGGATAATCACTAGCCACCGGTTCCATGGCTTGGCTTCCAGTCGTCTCGGAATCTCGGGCAGCGTTTCTGGCGACTGAGCCACATTGTCCTCGCTGGTGATGTACACTTGAGGCGGCTGGCTGGCCACTGTACTAAACGAGCCACCATTCGGTCTGGTGATGGAAAGGCTGTTGTCTTTTTTCGACCTCGACAAGTTGTGGTCCGAATACCTCTCTGGTGGAAGCACAATCGATATACTGTGAGAATGCGAGTCTCCACTGCTGTTGACCGGTATCACGGGGGACGGTAGGCCGAGATCCAGCGACAGCTCTGCCTGCCCGCCTTCATCTTCATCTTTCTGTGCTTCAACTACCGGCAGTGTAATGGTAAGTAGGAAGACCGGCAGACTGGCGATGACGCCAAGTAACTTATCAAAGATATTCTTGTCCTTCCAATTGATCAAGGTAGGGAACAGGGTCGAGGACAAGACATATGGCGAAGGAAGAACCCGGGATGGCCACCACCTTGGTGTCTTCGCTACCTCAATGGCACCAAAAAGATCCTTTGGAAACACAGACTCAGGCGACGCACTGGGTGATCGAGGCCTTAGGCTTGGGGGTCTCGATGACTGAGCCGACCACGGGTAATCAGTGTAGGCTGGAAAGGGTATCGGCGGCGATGTAGCATCCGGCACGGCCAACTTCAGAGCAGGAGGTTGAGGGCGTTCACCGGGGGCTAGAACGGGTGACGAATGCGGACTCGGTGAAATAGATCCATGGCGAATGGGCGTGTTGTCGTGACTTTCAGCGCCTGGGGGAGCCAATCTGCTGGCTGATGGATGCCTCACACGTGGTGGAGCCGGACTGGGTCGCCGGGAAGAGAGTTGAGATGTTGTCGGAGACAATGAGAAAGACGGAGACGGAGGCGCGTCCTCGTTGACAGAGAATTTGCTTCGTTCATCAGGTGTAGGCGGCCCAAATGTGATGTCAGGCACTACGCCTTGTAATGTGCTGGGTTGCAGGCGAGCAGATTCAATGTCGTTGGTCGATACCGCTCGTGTACGATTGCCGGTACCCTGTTGGATATCAATGTTGGGACGCATGACATGTGGCGAATCGTCTGATGCAACAGACACTACATCAAAAGGTGGTCGAGGGGCTGGATCAGACATGGTTGAGATGTAGCTTTGATGCTGCGCTGTCGTGTAGGTGGGGTCATCCGAGTATCGTCGTAAGCTGATGGGCATCGACTGGATATTTCTAGACTTTTGCAATGAGGAGAGCACCGCTCTGAATTCCAGCGCACCAACCAGACTGGGGCGAATGGGCGTATGCGTGTTTCTTCGAGATCCTACGTTTGGCCGGTTCACGCGCATATTGTTGGTGAGTTCTCCCATCCAGCGCTCACGCGCTTCCTCGTTGTCGTCGTCCTCGATCATGTCACCGCCGCCAGCGCGTTCAAGTGCCGAAAAGTCCTCGTTCGATATCGTGCGACCTGCGGTTCCATTGCCTGCAGGCGTCTCATCGTCGTGATATTCTGGAAACTCTTCTTCCTCTCCGCCGGGCATGACAAAGTGACTTCTCATCGCAGCTGCCTTGATCTTTCTCGCTTTCCTAGCGTTGAGCCACCAGTGCCATGCCACGACGAATAGAACATAGAAGACGTAGAAAGCGACCATGGTGGCGGATTCCCACAAGTGCAATTTTCCATCGACAATGAAACCCATACTGAAGGCTGCAGCCATGAGGAAGAAGCCAACATCACGTATGAAGCTCTTGCGAGCCACCGTGAAGGGTCGAATCAGAGCCATGGACCCCGAGACGACGGCTGTGATGAAGCAGGCTGCGCCAATGAGCTCACCCACAGCCAAACTTGCAGCATGGGTACGGAATGCGGCAAAAGTCGAGAAGACGTCTGGACTTCCGTTACCAAATGCCAGCAAAGTGACCCCTGCCAAGCTCTCGCTCATGCCGAGCATACGTGCTATCGTATTCAAGTTGACGCAAAAGAAGTCGCTTGCTGCGATGCCGATGGTGCTGAAAAGCATGGCAAGCCAGAGGGTCATGATTGTAAAGGCGAAGGGCTTCGCATGTGGAAGGCGACAGTAGTAGAGGGTGAGGTAGGAAATGACACCAGCTTCCTCATCCGGGCAATTGGCGAGGACGAAGGCACATTGGTCTTTGGCATGGTGGACGAGTCGACACTGTGAATAGCATTAGTCGTGCACTATACAGTCGTTTCGAATTAATAGCAAACCTCTTCATCCATGACCATGACGTCTCGCGTGCGCAAAACACCACCTGAGGCGGTACCCGCATCTTGTGCATGGCGCCCCTTGGCCCATGCAAGCAGTGATATTATGGTGATGGCGAGCACGGTGAGGTAGAACGGGCGGGCAGAGTACCGGGTGCGTCGCCATTTCTGGATCGTCTGGAGGATGGAATGCTCGTCCATAGTCAAGGCATTCTCGGGCACCGGTGGAGGAGGAGCCGCGGCACGACGCCCGTTGCGAGAATGCGCCGGCAGTGGTGGCGCTATGGTGGATGATAGGTTATGGAAATAGAATAGACAGAGGAATACTGCAGGAATGCAGGTGTATCGGAGTGGTGATGCGAGGCACTTCTGGGAGGCAAAGGATGTGGTGATGCTGGCCGGCTGCCTGCCAGGTAGGTGGAATGCGCTGGCGTCACAGGAAAACGGGAGGCGGAGCGCGGAGCGCGGAGTGTTTGGCGCTGCTGGGCGAGGGCGATGTATAGGAGAAAGTGTTTGGGCAAGAGTTGGGGGATGAGAATCCGGGGACGCTGAAGGTGAGATGTACGAGGCCGATAGGGTGCTGCCTACACAGTATCAGGGCATCATAGCGCCTCGATCTGCCGCGATAAGTTACGGGTATGATATCGCACTGGAAATCAATCTCGGAAGTTGAGTGGGACGCTGGATGAAGCTTCGTCACACATGGCCTCAGCCACAAAATGCCCCCCACACCTCACTGTCTGGCGGTGGCGGTGGCGGTGGCGTGAGTGGCGGTGCGCGTGGGGTTAGCGTCTGGCTTTTGCTTGGCACCGGCACCGGGTAGCTGTCCCAAGCTAGCTTCAGGGTCTAACTGTCTTGAGTGTTGATCGTAAACACGACAAGACCAGAACCACATCTACAACCACAACCACACCCACAACCACCACCACGGCTGCCACACATCGCCGCTCACTATGCCGCGCATATCTAGATACAACACAGCGGCCACACCGCAAAAGGCGCCTGTCAAGTGCGATCCTGTCCGATAACCCCACACAGCGGTGCACGGCTAATGCGAACAAGAGTACCCTTGAACGATGACCGACAAGAAAAGGCTGAACGCCGCCATGCCCTCCATGAACAACAGCGAAACTCCCTGCGTTCGTCCGGCACGCCTGGTCGCAGACGCATCTCCCTCGCCGCCGGCCAGAACAGCCCGCACACTCCGTCGCAGGATGTCGACATGCCCGATGTTGCCGGCACGGCCGTGACGCCCATGAAGCGAGTAATGCCACTGCTGGCCAACTTTGAGGAATGGATGAAGATGGCAACAGACAATGTGGGCCACCCTTTTCCGCTTGTCACAATCGACTTTTAACAGCTACAGAAAATAAACGCAAACAACTCGTGGAACTTTGCCCTGATCGACTACTTTCATGAAATGTCTTTGCTCAAGGAAGGCGACGGCGTCAACTTCCAAAAGGCCAGCTGCACATTGGACGGATGCGTCAAGATCTACACAAGTCGAGTCGACAGTGTCGCGACAGATACCGGCAAGCTGCTCAGTGGTTTGGCAGAGAATGCAAATAAGAAGCGGCGAGGGGAGGGCGACGACGAAGAAGAGGAGGGCGAGGATGAGGAGGGCGAAGGCGAGGATGGTCAGAAGAAGCGCAGGAAGAAAAAGGCCTTGTCGGAAGCGACGCTTGCCTCATCCTTTTCCCAGCTACAGAACAAGAAGATGGAACTCGAGTTTTCTGTAGACCCTCTGTTCAAGAAGGCTTCCGCCGACTTCGACGAAGGAGGTGCCAAGGGGCTACTGTTGAATCATTTGGCCATTGACGGTCACGGAAGAATTGTTTTTGACAGCAGCGATGATGCAAACGACGCTACACCAGAAGACTCGCGCGCCACGCCAGTACCGGAAGACGCTCTAGATCGTACACGAGAAGACTCGCCAGATGTGAGAGTGTTAGAGCACATTGACATTGACATTTCCGGGCTCGCAGCAAAGTACTTCCCCGATCTAAACACACTGGACGAGCAAGACATTTGTCCGTCCATGAAGACGTTCGATCTTAGCGACGTTGATGGAACAGCCGACATCCCATTTCTGAAAGCCCCAGAAGATTGGCGGAACGAAGAGAGCAATGATGCAAATGAGCAGGCTGGCAACCGGTCAGGAATGTACCTCGATGACGACAACCCGATGGGTTTCAATGACGATGATGATGACGTACACATGGGTGGACTCGACTTGCAGGTTGAGGCGGGCTTTGGTGAAGGTGGAGAAGTCTGGGCACGAGAAGCAATGCGCGATCCCCAGGCTCGTGTGCACGTCATGGGCCACGGAAATGATGGTGATGGAGAAGAAGCTGAAGGAGCTGAAGGAGGCGTAGCAGCCGACGGAGCTCAATATGGTATCTCGTTGATGCATGGTCGTGATCAGGAGCAGGAGAATATCCTCAGCTACTTCGATCAAGCGTTACGAAAGAATTGGGCTGGGCCTGAGCATTGGCGCATTCGAAGAGTCAAGGAAGCTGGAAAAGCTGCGCCTGTCACAAAGAGGAAAGAGAAGGAGCCATTCGAGATTGACTTTGCTGGTCCCATGTCTCAAGCCATGGCCGATGCGCTCTACACACCGGCAACTTCAAAATCCATGATTTCACTACCCAAAGCACAGTGGAAGTCAAAGACTATGAATCTGCTTCCCGACGACAAACACTTCAATTCGAAGCAACTCCTCCGACTGTTCCTTAAACCCAAAGCACGCATGGGTTCAAGACGACAAGGACGTGCAACACAACAACAAGCACCCGATCAGCCTCCAATCGGTGAAGTTGACGAAGCCTATTGGGCCCGCCAGGGTGATGCACAAGAAGAGAACCCAGCACAGGGTCATTACGACGCAGATTTTTACGAGGACAATGATCTTCCAATGCCCGGCCCCATGGATGACGACGACGACTTCGCAGATGCGCGAGACCACTTTTCACCGCCGCCAGAAGGTGCAGCAGGAGCAATGCAGTCCCTCGATGGCGCACTACCGAGCTCGCAGCAGGATGCATATGGTGCTCAGCTCGTCCCAACAGGCAGGAACTTCAGACCGCAATACGTGCAGTATGCGCGCGTGGCGAAGAAGGTCGATGTCAAACGATTAAAAGATGAGCTTTGGAAAGGAATTGGATTCGAAGACGTAAGTCCAGCGGAAGAAGCCTTCAACATGCAAACAATACAACTAACACTGCCAACTCACCAGACACCCAAACCACCGCAGCCAGACGACCAGCCGTCCAAGGAAGTCGACGGTACACTCACCTTCACAGATGTAGTCAATAGCCTGCAGACTGTGTACCCAAAGCAAGCCATGGCAGACATCTCGACGAGTTATTGCTTCATTTGTTTGCTGCATCTTGCGAATGAAAAGGGACTTGTGATTGATAATCAAGAGAACTTTGAGAACCTGACAATCCGAAGGGATTTTACGGCCGATCTGAGTGTTGGGGGGGAGTAGTGGTGGTGGTGGCATGTGGTAGTGGCAGTACATGGAGTATTACTTTTGATGAGCGTGGCGCGGCCGATGTGACGTGATGATGTAGGCGTAGCGTACGACTCTGAATCTGTGCCCAATGTAAACTGGTCGCATCCCACAAAGAGTTGATACTCGATTCGCATATTACATGTTATAGTACGTGTGATTAGAACGACAAGATGCCATTAAGTCCATAGTTTGCGCGGTGCTTATTTCAAGGCGCCGCCCGCCGTCCCCTCCCCTCCTTGGACTTCTATTACCCACCATGAGGAATTGGAGACAGACTATCTATTTAGCTAAAAGCCATACCCTAAGAAAAGACAGCTATACGGTTGTTGCATGTTTTCTTTGCCGTAGAAAGGAAGACAGTTGAGTCATGACGGAGTATTTAGAATTCGTCTTAAGATGACAAGGGTACGAGGTATAATTGTGACGATCAAGTGATGAGATGAGGATGCAGCTTACCATATTGCCTTTTAGGTCTTGCACCTAAAGTATGCAAGTTATTCTTCACATCTGTAAGAGCCACTATACTCACTTCTTTCTATTCCCTTGCAAACAGAGTTGAACCCAAAATGCTTAAATTTAGCATCTATGAATTCCATCATTTATATATATTATACTCCGGTCGTTGGCGTTTGTACTACTTCTTCACCCACGACGTCAATACAATGTATTACTACTCCTGAATTTACTGAGCTTCGTCTTTTGCCACATCCTCGCCTCACGCATAGCCAGTAGAACGAAGAATTCGACTCGGGGATATCATCTTACAAAACCAGCCTTGGAATCTGGTAACCTCGAGTGTAGTCCGTCTTTTCTGTGCAAGAAGAGATGATTATCTTGAGGTCTGATTTGTTCCTATGGGAGAAGTTGGCAGGTAGAAGGCAGAGAGCTGTGCGTAATCAAGGTGTAAGGGAGGGGGGAAATGTGTTCTCTCACCTCGCGTCTCAACTCCTTGAGATTGCTCTGTTAGAGCTTGGAATAGATAGTGAGCATATATTTGGACTTTTGGAAGAAGCTTCATGTATTTTGTAAGTAAATGAAATGTTGGTCCAGCCTTACGGCATGATCGCTTTAGTGACAGCTAGCTAACAATGCAATAAAAACGTCAGGCAAGAGTATATATTCCGACTAAGCCAAAACAACCAAAAGAGTTCATCTAATTATCCTTGATCTATCACTCATGAGTAATACAGTCCACATGCTTAGAAACAGTTATATTACTTACATTACCTGCAGTTTATTTTACAAATATTAGTTTTGGCTAATCAGCCACAGTATAAAATCTTCACAATCTTTTTTATACATAATAGTAGGCACTATTTACATGGCTTCAGTGTTTATAACATAGTTAGGACAAGATAGACATGCTGTTTGAACGATAAGTCCTGGATATTGTGGAAACGGGTGGGTTTGCTCAGGAGAACTGCGCTGCTGCTTTTGATGTCCCTTGTTTGGGAATCACGAGAGAAGGGCAATGTAACCAACTCATTTACAGCTTCCACTCGCTACATCCATGTTGGCATCAGGCACCAGATGATGTACACAATTGCACAAGATTGATGTCTTGTAATGCATACACATCCTGTCCAGTAAATTCCACATAACATGTTCCGGGAAGGTGTCTCGACGCTTCATGGTGCTAGTTTGCACGATCATCACAGTCTACTCGGACTTTGCTATTTTGAAAATCTCTGCCAGAGTTACAGCCAAGTGACAAGCATGATTTGAAGCAGTTCTGTTTAACCGGAGTGCGCCCAAACACAAGGCTCCATCAGGAAACTGGGGCCCTTTTTGGACTCATTCAATCAAGTTGATTAATGCATGTTGGTTTCGAAGATCATCTGCTCAGTGAATTGGTACTTTGTTGCGGTATTGGCTGGAAAGTTGGTGGGTTGCCCAGCAAAACAGGCCAAACGTATCCTGCCAAGGAGTATGCTAGTGCATGTACATATCGAGGTAGATGTATTGTATGCTCGTATCTGCACCCCGCGAGGCGGAACAGAAGTCACGTTAGATGCGGACAACGCTGTAGGAGCTTTGTTAAATATCGCAACTAGACCGATGGCTGTGTTGGCCGTCTGGACATGGCGACACGCACGGAGGTATTGGTAGGTAATCTGAGCAGTCTTGGAGTGGCTGTGTGTTCAAGGCGTTTCGTTTTAGCACTTTAGACAATTTCTTGAATTTACTTTTATTCTTTACCAAAGGTAGATGCAGGAGGTAGCTTTACCGCGCGTTAAGCTAATTTAAGTAACGTGATCCACCACCGAGCGCCCACCCCCACCAAGCGCCCACTAACACCAAAATCCACCACCCACTAAATAAGGATATTGCGCTACCTACAATAGCTATTATTACAAGATTTCTTAGAGTTACAATTATTAGATCTATTAAAGTAGATTAAATATTTTAGATTATATAAGCAGCTTTTTAGGGGGTCTAATTAGGCGCCTACGCTGTAAAGTTGCCTCTACTACTATATCCTCTTCTACTAGCTCCTTATTAACCACCTTAGCTAGTATAATAGTAGGAGGCTTAAGGATTTACCTCTTGCCTATTTAGGATATTTTAATATTATTTTAGAGTTACTTTTCTAGTTACTTAGTAGTTTTCTACTTATTATATATAGTAGCTTTTTAGGTAGCTTTCTCCTTCTACTCCTTCTTAGTAATTACTTAATTTAGGTAATACTCCTCTATAAGTTAAGCTTTAGTAAGCTTCTATTACTTATAAAGCTTAATTACCTTACTTTTTTAGTATTATAGCTCCTATTCTTTAAGGTTCTTTTACTCCTAGAGCTTAAATACTTACTCTACCTTTAATAGTAAAATAAATTAGGCACTACTACTATAATTATTATTAGGGGGTAATAATAGAGGTTTACTACGCTTCCTACGCTTCTTCTTATTAGCTAGGGTAGCCCTTAGGTATTTATTTTTATAGTTAAGTAGAGTATTTCTTACTAATATAGTATAGATTATCTAGCTAAGCTTCTTTAACTATTTATTATAGATATTAATTATAGTATTATAGAGTAACTACTCTATCTTTCTCTAATTACTTACACTTAATATTAAGGTTATACTATTACTTAAAGAAGGCTAGTTACTATTATTTATAGGTGCTTTAAACCTTAAAAGGATAATATTAGGGTTAAGTAGTAAGATACTTATTACTTTAAAAGCTATTAATATTAGCTTTTCTTTAAAGGTATTACTCTATATAGTATTAAATAACTAGTAGAAATCCCTCTTAGTAATGCTTATAAGCCCTTAGGAGCTATCTAGAAAACTAGATAGTTAAGCTTTATATAAAGCTATAAAGGGAGCAAATACTATAATATTAAGTAGCTAAAGGGTATAAGTGCTATAAGGGGGATATATTATAAGTAGGATCTTATATTTATTATAGTACTTAATAAACTCTATTATTATATAAGATCTATAGCTATTAAGGATAAGAAGCTAGTATAAAGTATAAGCTTTAGCTTTTATCTTATAATTAAATACCTTCTTAAGCTAGGATACCCCTAGGGTGTGGCTTATCTACCTACTTAGTAATCCTATAAAGAAAGCTTAGTATTATAATAGGTTAAAATCTTGTAACTAGGTATCCTATAGAGCTCTAGATTAGGACTAATAAATAAGGGTAGAGGTAAGAGTAGTACTATTAGCGCATATATAAGCTATAGTAGTAATCTACTCCCTATTACTATCCTAGAGTATAGCTCTAATCTTTCTCTACTTATAGGCGCTCTTATTAAATATATATTTAGTTTTTAATAGTACTTTAATAAGAAAACCCTTCTTATCTATATTATAGATATACTAACTCTTAATATTATATTACTCTATTTTTTAGTATAAAAGCTTAAAGTATAAGCTATACTTAAAGGTAGAATTAGCTTTAAAGTAGTTATAATTAAGCCTAGTAGCCTAATAGAAGATAAGATTAATATTATAGTAGTTAATAAAGCGCTATACCTAATTTTTACCTACTAGATTCCTTATTATTTTAGTTGCAAAATTTTAAATAATAGTCTATATAGGGGGTAATCCTTACCTATAAAGCTCTTTAATATACTTTATAAGCTTACTTTCTTATATAGTATTAAGTATTTAACTATTTAGTAGAGTAGTAGTATACGCCTACTAAATTTTCTAGTAGTGTCTAGATAAGGTTAACTATAAGTAACTATACTTTTCTACTATTTCTAAGTATATAAAATCTTCTCTAAGAGTTAAGGATTTAATTGCTATAAGCGCGTTGTTAATAGGTGCTATAGTTATTAAGAAATTTAGTGTTGAAAATTTAGTGATTTTAGTGTTGGTGGGCGCTCGGTGGGGGTGGGCGCTCGGTGGTGGATCACGTTAATTGATCGACTTTATGTCTTGTCTAGCGCTTTAAGCGCCTCGCCTACCGGAAGGCACGGTAAGGGTACCAGCGGAGACAGACTTGGATACTTGAGTATTTAACTCATGGCTATACGATCACAGCGTTTCTCTTAATTCCTCACTTAGTTAGATGCACAAACTAACTCTATCGCGATAATCTAACTCAATTAATGGATTAACTCTGAGTATCATCTGGCGCTTCAGGCGCCCCGTTTACGGTACTTTCGGAGACAGATTTACATGCTTGACTTGACACTCGAAATGCGGCTGTAGTCCTTGGGCACAGTAAAAAACTCTTCCACTTAAAGAACCATACACGCAGTAATTGAACTACATGATATGCTTGGATAAGTGTTATTCCGAAGGACCGCAGTCACGTGCATTGTGCGCCGCAGACTGGATACCGGTTAGAATTAAGAATCCAGATCCGGCCTTTCCACACGTTTGATTCTTTCATGGGCAATATCGTGTCACTTTAGGAAATGTGCTTCGCTCCTATGGCTGCATGAGTAATACGTTAATCTTAGTATGCACTATGTCGAGCATACTACCGGTAGCAAAGGGCCGTTTTGCGATTCCAAACCAATCTCAGGCCTACAAACTGTGGCTCTTTTCCTATTGCACCTCTAGGTCACTCGGGATTGGTTCGAATAGATAGGCCCTTTTCTAATTACTATTATCTAGATTCAATCTTGAAAATATCTGATGCCAAGGACAATGAGGGCCGATGACATGGCCAAGAATTATGCTAGCTACCTTAACAGGCAATTTATGCGGAAATTTTATCCAGTACCGTGAACATGAGCAAACCAATCGGAGGTTTTTTTATGGGTACTTCGCGGATATGGTACACTTGCTTATCAAAAGTTCCTGCATCGGAAACAAATGTACGCGATTGCAGCTGCCGTACCTTTAGGTAGTAATTGGCTGTACCCATCAGGCATTCGAATCATACAACCTAGCGGGTTGTTCTGGACGGCAGCTACCGGTATCGCTTGATTAGTCACAAAAGAACCCACAAAACGGTACAAGCAGTGGTTTTGCAGTCGTGGCAAATATTTCTTACCGGTAGGGAGCGCATTTTCTGCGTAGTAAAAGACGAGTGTCAAACTATTTGGTGAGCAGAGACAATTGTAGGACTTAGACGTACCATACTGTAGGCGGCCATGAAAATGTCCACTTTGTTAAGCGCCACATGTAGGAAATCGTAGTCATCGTGAACCGCATCCTGTATGAGCAACATTTCGGTTAACGGTAGTGAGACGAGGGCGGAGAATAGATGCTCGGAGAGACTTCAGCAGGTTGTTCGGTTCGCTCCGCGTCGGCATAATATCATGAGATGCGGGGAAATCTGGAGTGGACTGAAAGTCTGTCAGCAAATAACGCCATAGGTAATAGCCAGAAATTTTCCAGTTTACAAGGAACCAATGGGACATACCCACACATAATTCTGTCGGCAAATCACCTGGAAAGCGCTACCAGTCTCCCCCCTTGTTTCAAAAGGCGGCACTGTTTATCTGGTAGTCTTTTGTAAGAGAAGAAATTTTGACACTAGGAGTCCGTTAATGGCACGGACTTGTCGTACTTGGGATATTCTCTGCCCAGAAGCTTATTTAATGCCTGTTTACCATTACAGTTTCAGCCGACGGCATACTGTGCGTGTATCACGTATGTATGCCGAGTAACAGGTCCATTTGAAGCCAGATTATATTAGAGCACAACCCGTACATGGTAACTACCTATGCTAATGATAGCATTGCACCTCGCGTTGCCTTCCATTCTACGTAATATCTTTCACATCTTATGTAGCCATAACAATTTACAGATTGTAGGTACGCTGTGATGCATGTCCGGGCAGACCCATCTCATAGCAAGGAAATCTGTGCTCACTTCATTTCAATAGGTAACGTGCTAGCTGATTTGCGTCCAAGAATGCTCTGGTAACTGCACAGTGTTGGATGGCCAAGATCTTGATAACTCGAACGCTGGCCGAAAATAAAAATTATGGTATCTGATTGATGGTGAGAAGATAGAACGCAACATAGAAATTCATTCCAGCTCTACATGCAGTTGTTCAAGCGGTGTTGGCATGACAAAGTATTAGCGTAATTCAATTTCACGTCATTATCAGCTAATTCATTGGGTCTCCACCAGCGCTAGAGATCGTCTCCTGGTTAGTACCGGAGCCTATGTCCGTTAGCTCCCTTCTTATGGCCGCACACGTCAACGTCGTGTGAGCCCATGCTTCCCAGTCACTTCTTAGACCTACGCTAATCAAGAAAAGTTGATGCAAGTACGAAGTACGAGATAAGAACAAGAATATATTGCATAACTATGAGTCAAAATTCTAACTACAATACCAGCACTGATCCTCTTGAGAACTCTGAAAATGTGCAGGCCAAAGGAAGGGAGATAGCTAGCCTCTAACACCCCGAGGAATTTGTTGAAAATTCCATAGTTTCCCATCCTTTCGCTCGGCCTATGCCGAATCTAGCACACCGTCTTAGAATTGCGGCATAATCTGTTAACGCTCAGCTGCCACAACGGACTTTCTTCCCATCCATCAGCCTGAAGGTTTGGTCCCATTCCAACCCGGGAATATCCCAGCTTATTGATCCAGACCCTGGCGGCACTGGAAATAGGTAGGTCCTTCCCCTCCACATCCTCACATTGCATGTGCATGAAGTGGAGGCTGGATTCAATCCTGAGTCTCCAGAGCAAGCGCTGGAGGCATTGTCGAGTGTGATAAATGAGGAACCCAATGGATCTCCAGGTGCGGGTCCGCCGTAGTTGCTGCTTATTGACTTAATGCGTTCCAAGAAGGTGCTGCATAGATTCTTGCATTCATTGCCAGGGCTTTCTTTTGAGCAGAGCGTGCCATCAGAAGTGGCCGTCGTGACGTAGCGGTTGCATCTATTAGAGGCGAAGATGGGAGTGGCGAGGGCAAGTATTGCCACAAGAGTCGTGAAGAGTTGCATAGTTGCTTGAAGAGGTCTGCTTGAGGCAGGCCTTGAACAGGCCTTGGAAGTGAATAGTGATGGTATAGGAGTGTAAGAGAAAGATGGAAACTGTTTGTGGGTTATTCAATGCAGCAGAATTTGGATCTTTATATAGATGAAAATTGAACTGGTCATGATACGAAGGGAGACAAAGAATGAATAATTGGTAGCTAAGCCGAAGGCTATGCATGTAAATTGAAGTTAAGAGTTCCGTACAAATTGCCGAGAAGCTTATGTATCTACGAATCCAGTAGCTTGAATTATAAAGGCCCTTTTTCTAGGACGACGGAACATAGTTGCAAGTCAACCTGTCCGCGCAATCTGCTCGTGAGCCAAGCAGATCGAGCCCTACCATGGACCAATCTTGTACACAACTATGCACTGTGAGGATTTTCGTGGTAAGAGGCCCTCCTTCGGAGAGGGTTTCAAGTAAGTCTTTCGAACAGGTCTTCTGATCCTTGCTATGCTATCAATCGTAGGTTGTGTACGTGGCGATCATGGTACCTGTGCTCGTGATGGTGGGACTAGAGTCAGATAGCCCCTAATCAGCCGTCATGCCTGTATTAGTATGTACCGGCCATCTTAGAAAGTTGCTAAGCTAGAGTATCCACCGACCGATTGGATGTCCAATGCCAACTTGGTGCTTTACACCTCACTCGCATGACTAGCCAACGCTGTACGCTTCCAATGAAGATGAAAGAGGGTTCCGGTCGGCCAGAGGGCGATGTCACACGGCATATGTTCTCGGACTCTTTGACTTGATTTGACTTGAAGAATGTGTGGTCCCAGGAAAAGCTCTCCTTGCGTATCGAGATGGCCTGTGCATAGAGCTTACAATGGCGACGCTGCGCCAATTTAATCCTTCATCCTCTTATACGAGCTGTCTTCGGGCCATTGACATGTCACTAATGTATATTAAAGTCTAAACAGGTCTTGGCTAGCGTATAAAAACCACCTCAATCCAATACTGAGACTCGACAGATTACCTCAATACCTCACTTTTCATTGAATTGGCAGAAAACTACTCAGCTTATTAAAATGATCTCTCTCAAGTCTGCTCTCGTTGCCTTTACACTTGGCTGCTCTAGTATCGCCACAGCCTCAACACTCCACCCCGGCTTCGAGGATGACATCGCTCTACTTCTCGCAGATGCAGATGGCCGAACAAAGCATTGGCAAATTGTCAAGCCGTTTCTAGATACAGCATTTCCTGGTATCACTTGCAACGTGCAGGGCAATAACTCGTTAACGCAGGGCTCGACAAGTCCTATGGCTGAAATGATTGAAAGCTCCTTGATGGAATACCAGCCTTCTGTTAGCTGCACAGGGGAACTGGACGAGCATGCTTTTGCTGCTGTCTTTGATCAATTCCCGCACGTAACACCCCAGCTGGACTTCCAAGGACTGCAAAAAAGGCAAGCGGATGTAAGTCCTAGACATGTGCATTTCGAAATGGTTGGCCCAAAATGCAGGGTCGGGTTGCTTCGCCTACATTACGATACTGATCAAGAAACAGTGCCCTAAGGGTAATGCCCCTGTAAAGCCGCTAGGGCGTCGTGGGGGAACAGTGAGGGATGTCGAAGCGGAGACCCAAGCTCAGGCTGCCGCTGCGAGAGCAGAGACCGAGCAAGGATATCTTCGATGTGAGGGCGCAAGTCGTCCAGCCAACTGTAGAGCTTGCGTAAGTTGAGACCCCAAGGGACCGCCTTACAATGACCCTGTACTCGGAAACTGTTAGCTTACATGCAAATAGTGGTCTGGTGCGATAGCAGCATATGTTTTTGAAATCGGAGGTTGTGCTGCTGTTGCGTATAAGAACCATGAGGCGCCACGAGGTCAAATTGACCCAGCGGCATGGCTTGGCTTCATTTGTTGCGTGGGGGTCGGCTTGGGGGGATGGTTGGTGGCCACCTCTGGTTGTATCGGCAGATAACAAGTAGGATCTTGACAAAGTGGGGATTCATCTAGGACAAGCACTACAGTTCATAACTAGTTTACTTAAGCTATATTTATCCTAAGTAGACTGCAAAGTAGTTTAAGTATAAGAAGTAAACGTACATAAAATTTATATTAGATGATACTCTACCTTAGTAAACTACATTTGTTTCTGCTTCTCTTCTTACTAACTATTTTAATATTTTAACTCCTTATTTCCCTAATCTTCTCTACCACCTCTATGTTGCTGTGTCATGAATGCCTGGATCACGTGTGACTGGGCTTAGCCTCTTGGCGGTGCTTGCCCATAGATAGCTCCCATCCTCCTAGACTAGGACAATATGATCACATTACACACTGCATTTGGGCCCTCCTTATCGGCGGATATTGCATATGTGAGGATCTGAGTGGCTACAATATAAAGCAGCTAGTGTTAGAATACAAAGGTTAGTTTTTAAGGATAAGTAAGAGATACATAAGAGAGTTAGATAATTAAGTATATTACAATACTTATTATTCAAGTTAAACATAATCTACTATAAGTATATCTTGCTATTCTTGTATACTACTATAATAGACTTAATAGAAGCTATCACGTCTAGCAATAGCTAGCACGCGTGTCTAGCAATAGACACGGTAGAATCTATTAGCGCTATCAGTCACGTTATTCACCCAACCCGTGGAGTCACTTGGCTGTGGCAGCGTCCTGGTGTCCATTCACGATCTGTGGCTCTTCCAGTCCCTTAAGGGATCATAACACTATACTACCTGTATAGTAGAATACTAACTATAATATAACGGATCATTATATTATATAAACGTATAGCGTAGAGCTAGTATTCTTTTATCCCTTTTAGTTGTGGTTAGTATTACAGCGAAGAATAGAGATAACTCTACGTTTCGCACTTAATTTAATCCCCTACTATAAAAGTCACTTACTACTTTAAATATATTTATCGTTATATTCCTAGGTTATTTACGCATATACAATAAACCCCTAGGGCACTTTTCTAATGTAAACCATTTTAGTTACCAGTGCTTCTAATAAGTCTAGGAAGTATTTAGATAGTATACACCATCAAGGGCAAAGCAAGTACATAGAAGGTGCATAAGTATTGAAATCATACAGGCTACATTATTTAGGTAGGTCTTAGCATATGGTTACCTTTGACTAGCTGTTAATATCGGAAGTGCTGATTTGGCTAACGCATGATACTAGTTGCCGATTCAATTAGTCTTCTTCCAATCGGCGCAGTAAAGTGGAGATGATGGCCTTTTGGCCTTTGGGGATTTTTCCTCTATTTGCTCTTTCATGACTAAAGGACGTGATACATTGAGAGTTGGCTGCATTGACTTTGTCAAGCTGTTGACACGAGACTTCGCACCATAGCCGCAGGGAGCCAAAGCAAAGCAGGAGCCCTTTCAGCTCTCCATTCCGACGTCCGTGGTCCCGATGCCTTGGAAGGGCTCATATTTGAATCTAAGGGTATCGTGAGCCATACATGACATGGTTGAATATGGTGTCGAATGAAGGGAGCGCTGGAGCACAATGAGCGAAAGTGTTACCTCACATGCGTATTTCAGCAATGCTTGGTTTCAATGACAGAATCGTCGTCAATTCCTTCAGTAATCTCAACGATCACTAGTGGAACAGAACTCTCAGCCGCGCAATGGTGAAAAACAATAGAGCAGCTTACGCAGCCATGTAATGTAGAGGAAGAACTCTCAAGAACGCCCAGGCAGAGGTGGCTCGATGCCAAATATGTCTGTGATTGTTTCTTAGGGGTGGTAAAGTAACTAGAGAAGGATCTGCTCGCCTGTCCTGATAAGGCCTTCAGGCCAATATGGTTCATGTACACGAATAACCCTTCCTTGTCACGTCACTCCACTGATAGCCGTTCAGGTACGGGCACCACGATTCTCCACCGCAGCAAGGCAAGCGGATAGTCGAAAATAGATACGAATCCGCAAGGAAAAGCATGATTGAGTTTCTGCTAACCCGTTTCATCTATCTAGAGATTCCTGGTCTAGCCAGATTGGTTTGTGTGAGGTCGTGATTGGATGAACGACTGCTTCAGGCGCAATGCGAAGGCTCTCATCTTCTATAGTGGATGAAGCCGCACGAGCTCCTCTCATATCAGAGCAGAACCCAAGCATCGCAAAACAAAGTGAAAAATTACTTAGGGGCTCACAGACGCAACTATACTTCATTCAATGGGCGTGCGATTGACAGTTCCTTCCGTCTGCGGTCTCAGTAATTGCTGGCCATCACTATACGGGAAGACGAATCATGCACACGGATCTATGCAGTACCGGTAGCGAGTAGCGCCTGCAATGAGAATATTTGGGACATGGTTTGAGATGGTAGTGCATTACGTAGATCTAACCTAAAATAACACGGCCATTTCTTCGCAAATGTATATCGCTCATATTTAGAATTACACAGTTAATGCGATACCAAGTTACCATTACAAACAATAGGTTGCAGCCGCTTCGATGGTGAACGTGCGATAGGCTATTCCAAGTTATTAGTCGCCTTAGTAGGTAGCAAGAAAGCTGTCCACTAATCTCAGACGAGTATTCGAGTCATCTAGCTTTATGCGAAAAATGGTGCAGGCCTGATGTGAAATATTAGCAACGGGAATTGGGCCCCAGGTGTACGTCTTCTCTGTTAATACCAAGATTAGTGATAGGCAATTTAAACTGATCCACAAACTGGGTGGAACAGTGAACTGGAAGGGTGATGCATCACAGTATCTATGAATTGTATCTTGTATATTCCGTCACTGAACATTATGGCAGGTTCATCATCCATGGAATTTGCTCAGGCAGGTCCATGGTATGCACTCGTTACTGAGACCGAGTAGCACTTTTGTCGTTAGTAACTTAGAGCTGTCGATTTAGTCGACCGCTACCATTATCTGAAATCCATGGTTCTGACTCTCGAGACCCGTGCCCCCACTGCCAAGGAAGCCCTTTCTGGTCTCCTATGCATGGACAGTTGGCCCGCTAGTCACCGTACATGTTGGCCGTGCTGCGCATTGGCCAATTGCTCTTGTTCTCTGAATTTCCGATTACTCGAGAGCCTCCATAGTACCACCGATCGGCCAAATCAAAGATTTGTCTTTTTATGTATGTAATGAGCACTTTGAATAACGGTATCTTTCTAAGCGCCAAAGCGTTCATTGAGGTTAGGTGTAGTAAGTTTCGGGGTTCGTCGAACCAAAGGTAGTGCAACGCAAGCAACAAGCTTCAACTACCGGTAGGTAGGTACAGAGAGGAAAATCACGGTATACAAAGGATAACACCAAGTTCATGTCATGCTAGGATAAAGTAACCAATCAGCGTTGCGCCATTGAGCATGAGGTCTGTCAGCACTAAGGTTACGGTACTAGACGGTCAACTTCGTAAAGAAATCGATTAGATAATGATACCGTTGAGTGCAGACTACATTCGCTTCGAGGTGCCATTACAGTTTCTCCACATAGAGAGTACACAATAGTGCTACACAGTAATCCTCTTTGTACCGGTGAGCGCCCAACTACGGTAAAATATTAGCGAGCATCCACCAATCGAAGCGGCCCTTTACCCCTGCTCAACTCTTCCTTGCCGACCTCTACCCAAGCCAAGTGCGAAGAAAATAACTCACTAGAAGGTGATTGCACATCTATGGCCATGGATTTGAGACTAGGGCTTAGATAATACGCTTGCTGGTTTGTCCCTGTCCTACGAAGTGTTGTATCTTGGCCATTGCTCGGTTACCTACGGTAATGTAGAGGAATCCAGTTCCTCCAATGCTATGGATAGGTACCTAGGTACCGGTACACACGCGCCGAACGCGCGAGAAATACCAGCATATATCCACGTATTGATCCTTCTCAGCCAAATCCTACAGTGAGAGGAGACGCGTCGTCGGTGGAGAGTTGCATTCATAGTCTCCACCTCGTCTCCTCTTTGTGCGCATGCACCTTTCAAAGGTCTTGCTGAGGATGTGCATCAGTTAACCTTGTGGGTTCTGTCTCTGCTGGCAAAACAAATACAGTATATTGCCGACTTGGACAAGGGAAGCATGTTGGAGATCTGATTGCTACTTGCCGGCATATACCCACAACGGTCCGGGCCGAATTACATGAAGAATGCACAGAATCCTTCCACAAGAGGACAAGACTTCCGAAGGAGTCGTGTAGATCCTGTAGGTAGAAGAGGCGACTGGCTACATCGAGTCATTGCTGATACACTGTATGCGCAGGGTCTCGTTAGCTTACCTCCTTTGAATGCTTGTTTACGGTGCAATACATGACGAGGCAAAAGTCAGACTGGTATATTCGCTGATCCAAATATGTATGATAATGGGAATGACCCATGACAAGTGAATGTCAGGAATACCCTTCTCTTCTCGAATACTTCTTCGAGATACAATGACGTGCCCCGTCACTTGGGCTGATAATTTTCTAGCATCTAATCGTGTTTAGACGATCATGAGCGTTCTTTCTGACAGGAGCAGTGCATATCTATCGAGACAAGTTAGATGGTAAATGACTGCCAAGCATATTTTCTAGTCATGACTACCCTTGGCCCTTAAGAGATTAGGCTGCTTGCATATAACAGCTTCGATATTGACATATTCTATGACCTGATACCACGAAACGTGCATTTAAACGACCTATGCACAGCTCGGTGGCACTCCTGTGGGTCAGCCCCCTCGCACTTGATTTGACAACACAGCTCCCTCTACCATGTTGCAGCCCACCGGGCAATTTATTCTGAGCACTCCACAGCACGGCATTTGAATTATGCAGGGACTTGTAGTATCGCTCCGTCAGTCTGACATGGTTGCAAGGGAAAGAGAAATACACACATCGCCACAATCCAAATGTTTGTCCAATAGATATCTGTCGTGGAGATCAGGACCCTGCACTTGACAATAGGTTATCGAGTGATTAGCATCGGAGCTCTGCCTACAGGCATAGCAATCGGAGTCTGGCAAAATGCTGCCGACCCTGTCGTTCTCGAATAAGCTCAAGACAAGCCAGTGGGCCAACAACTGATTGACATGTTCCTTTGCCCAGTTCTTCACTAGAGCCCACATATATTTCTAATGATATAACCAAAACTACTTGTACAAGCGGCTTGGGAGACGTGGGTTCTGGGGTCTGGCTGTCTTTTCGAAGATTGCCATACAATGATCCACGTGCCTGAAAACTGCCTGAAGGGGATGTTGCTCCATTTGAATAGTCAAATAGCAACCCGAGCGATTGAAACAAAAAATGAACTAAGTGTTGGGTAAAAATTGAAGGCCCGAAGATCGGGTTGGGGAAATACTATGCTGGGAGCTCTGGCGAGAGGTCACACTATAAAAGGCCTTCAATAATAGCCCAAAGTTCCATCTCATTACGGTTGCTTGAACGACCCTCAAACAAGTTTCCACCCCAACATAGTCTTCATCACATTTCCTACGACTTGATCATGTCTCTGACCACTGTGTCCAATGTTTCTGCCCCCACTTCCGTTGTTGTTTCATCAGCGCCCCGAATCTGCCACAACGATACCAATAACTCTACATCGATCTCAAACACAAGCTCCTACGAACCGAAGTGCAATGCAAAAGCGCTACCAGCATACACTGTCATAGATGAACGTTGTGTTTGGCATTGGACAGACAAGCTCTCTGAAGCCGAAGGTTGGATCGTCATTGATTCGCCAATACCCACAGCTTCCGGGGGAGGTTTGTTCCTGCACAATGCCGCAACTTTGGAGGAGGTTCGCGACGTCGCTACCACCATGAGTGCAAAGCTCGCAGTATCTTCCCAGCCTCAAATTGTTGGTGCAAAAGGCGGCATCAGATTTCCATCCTGCGACCCTCGAGCTCCTGCTGTACTGGAACGCTTCATCCGCGACAATGCTGCTGTCATCTCGCAGTACTGGGGGACTGGAGGAGATATCAATACGGACCACAGAGTCATCGATGAGCATGCTAGGACATACTGCGCTCCAGGTACTGCGACCGCACTGGACGCTTTACGCAAAGCTTTGGGCTCGGAAACTACAGCGTCTGTCGATATACATGGTCTCCTGAACGAGAGGATTTGCCAGAGCGAATGGTCCGTCAATGAGTTCAGTGTTGGCCACGTCATGGCTGTCACGCTTAGGGAACTCCTCCTACGTAGCGCACCCGATCTCATAGGGCAAGTACGCCTTATTCTCCAGGGCTTTGGGGGCGTAGGCGCTACTTTCGCCGAGGCTGTAAAGCAACTTGGTATCGGCGAGGTAGTCGGTATCTCCAGTCAATATGGCTTCATTTTTGACAGGGATGGCATCGATTGCGCGAGTATCGAAATGAGCAGACGGCGTGCGATAGGCAGTGGCTCGGTCCGAAGTTTTGACCCTCGAAGCCTAGAGGCTGGTCTCTCTCAGTCCCAGCTACAGTCTGAGCTATATTCTCCTCGGAGACCTGACACCAGCGACGAAGAACACCTCACTCACTTCCTGAGTGTTTGCAAAGGTCATGTGTTCGTTCCTTGTGCCCAGCGCTACGTCGTCAGCTCAAAGATCATCTCCACTTTGATCAACGATACGTTTGCTGAAGCTCCTTCTCATGCTCGGTTCATTCTTGCGGGAGCGAACAACGTGTTCAATTCAACTGAACGCAAAGATGACATCTTGTCTATGCTTGATTCTGCCAGTATTCGAATGCTGCCCGAATGGATCAGCAACTCTGGGACCAGTAATCTCTTCATGCGGGCCTGCAGTGGACTTGCGTTGGAAGGATACGCCGCGAGCACTTTGGAGGCATGCGCCAATGATACTAAAGCTTTCATAAATGCCGTCTTCGTCAAGGTGGGCGAAAAAGCCAATAATGCGGCTATCTGGGATGCTTGTGAAGGCCTTGCAAACGCTCTAAGAAGTGCCGGAGCCGTCAATCTTCTCGGTGTGAAGGGACTGACCCATCTGAAATTAGCATCATCTGATGTGGCCAGAGCCAGCCAGACGATTATGCAATTGTACGGTGCCAAAGTGAGTGCTGATGGCAGCTGCTTCCAACTTCCTGGGCCCGGAGATCCAACCATCAGTGTAGCCAAGGCTGCTGAAGGCATGGGTCCTGCCGGCATGGGCTTCTCCGTTTGCTTCTCCGTTTACAATCTTGCAAAAGCTCGCGAGTTGCTCAAAGCTGAAGCATACACCTTCCATGAGGAAAATACGGAAGGACAAGCTGAGTTGATTATCGACTCTGAGGAAGCTGGTTATCCTACTATTCTTTGTCAGGCTCCAGCCCAAGAGCCGTCTCATGACAACTTCTCTTCCTCTTCCGAAGTGCTGAGCTCAGTGGTGAATTCGATTCAACATTTAGACCACTACGCTACCATTCAGCCTGATACCACAAAGATTAAACTCTTCCACGAGCGCATGCTAGGCTTCAAATACGTTCGGACCTTCACTGTCAATACTGGCTCTAGGGCCGATGGCCAAGACGATGGCCGAATGCATCTCATGAGTTGGCCATTTGACAACAAGCGAATCGCTTTTCTCACAGAAAGCCTGTCAGACGATTCTGTGTTTTCGAAGCTTCTGAAGCGCAAATGTAGATCACACGTTCATCATTTCGCAATGAAAGTGGACAATGTTGACGCTGTGTTTGTTGAGGCAAGGGCCCGAGGCTGGGGCACCACCTCTGAAGAACTCAGCGTCGATCTTGGCACCGGCCTACGACAATTCTTCATCAAGGAAGAGGAGTGTGGCTCTGTTCTGGAATTCATCGGAGACAACAAGCCGCAGTCCTCCGAAGGCGGCTCAGCCTCTGCCGCTCGGTATGGTGAGATCATGGGTGATGACGCGGGTGAAGGGAAGAAGTTTTACAGTGGCAATATTGCTAACTTGGCTAATTCATGCGACGTTTGATTTTGGAAAGCATTTGCTGAGTTTCCTGTTTATGATAGTTAGCAAACCTAGTCGTAGCAAGTAGGATCATTTGAATGCGGTATACCGGTATCGCCCCAGAAAACGCACAGCTTCTAGTTTCTCAATTCGCATTTGCAAAAGTGATGTGCGGGTTGGGTTTAGATTCTAGTGAAAGGTCCCTGGACCCTGACTACCTGTAGTATGTAGTAACTAGGTATATCCTGTCAGAACGTAAAAGGCTAAAAGCTTCGCATCCGACTAAGGGTAGGTACTTCTGCGGGTGGCGTTTAATAAATCAGTATAGCCGAATTGGACATTGCTTTTTATTTATGCTAAGCGACTAGTACGTAACTTCAGGTACTAGATGCTAAAGTAGGTTAAAAGATGGAGGTTTTAATGAAAAAGGCATGCTTTTAAATTACTCAAGCAGGAGGCTAGTAGAGCACGTGCTTTTAGCTAGATTCACGAGAAGATGAACGTGAGAATTTAGTGTTTGTTACATAATCTGCATACCTTGAAATTGTCAACATCTGTCTAGCTAATTAGAAGAGATTTAATCTTTGCTAATAAGAGATTGCAGCGTGCGCTCTGGAATCTTAGGGTGGTAAATGGGTATGGGTTGGGTACGGGTTGGGTCATGTCACGTGACAAACCCTCCCCAACATACCCAACCCAAGTTTTTGGCGCTAGCGATGGGTTTGGGTTGGGTTGGGGTCGACCATCGCACGGGCTAGGGGTTTGGGTTGGGTCATTACCAATCGGGTTAGGCTCGGGTTTGGTACCGAGGTTATTACAGAAAATTATAACGCTACCCCTGACCCAACCTATACCCGAGGCCTATGCGACCCAACCCATACCATACCAATACCTAAGGCCCGTGCGACCCAACCCACACTAATACCCAAGGCCCATGCGACCCTAACCCAACCCAAACCCTTCGCTGGGTACCCCGAACACATTTGCCAGCCTAGTACTCTGAATCTTTTGGGCATTACTTTGGTAACTGAAATGCTTCCTGCGTGAGCAAACGGTATAGAACCATATCTACCGAGCCCCTGGGTGCGAGTAGGTCCTAGTCACGTGATGATCAACGCTCCCATTGATCACATCTCGTGGGTCTGGAACAAAATTCTCTGGATATGCACTCAAAATGCACTTGAGTAAGTGGAGGGTTAACAAGGGCCTTCAAAACGTCTGCCTCTTTTTTTCTTGCTCCCCACCGTCGCAATGGGTCAATTCTACAATTTCTATTGGACGGCGGCTAAATTTCCTTTTCAGATGTGACATTTCCCCGCATATGACAGAAAAGCGAATACATTCCAAACTATCCGATGTCAAAGGAGATCAAAGAAAGTAGACACCCTAGGTACCATAGTCAACCGATGACTGGTTAAGACCAACGTCGAGTCGAGTTTCCAGCGGACAATTAATAGACTTTCCTCGTGAGCACATGCGCATACCTGAACCCAAAAAATCTTGTTACCAACAAGTATCCGCAGGTGGATTTCCCCCAAGTCTTTGCTCATTCGAGAGATGAGAGCCGAGAGTAGAATTTCCAGCACTGACAGCGAATGGGCTGTGCCAAGTTCAAGTTCGGCGCACATGCCACCCACCACGTTACGTCACCGCCTCCATCGCAACGTTTCCAAGGATGGACCTTTGCTTTGAGCGAATTGACAGCCGCCATTGAACATCTAGGGTCGGCGAGACCATGGCCATTGTCTGACAATAGGGCGTCGAGTGGGATACAAGGCCGTGGTCTCTTGGCTTGCAGCGAATGACGACCAAGTACGATTGACTTTCGTTGCCTGTAGGTGCTGATTCCTTTGACTTGGACGACTGCAAGGTATATGAATGTTTCCATCTGTTGGATGATTGCCGCAATTTATCGCAGTGCCCTCGTATATCAAAGCGCGTGTCGCCATTGTTGATGATCTTGTATCTTTTACCGCGTATACCCACGATGCGTTCTACTTCATTTGCGCCACTCCTGCTGTCCTCGCTCTTCTTTTCTATCCCACTGTGGGCGCAGCAGAATGGCGCAGAGTCATCAATCGAGTACACAGACGATACTCGGTTCCGCGATGTAGTCCTCGACGTGACGAATACGTATCGAAAGCAGCACAACGCGACGGCCTTGGGATGGAATTCGACATTAGCAGATTATGCGGCAGATTGGAGCGAGGATTGCGAGTTCAAGCACAGCGGTGGCCCCTACGGAGAAAACCTAGCCTCTGGATATTCGAATGTAACTGAGTCGATTGTAGGGTGGGGGGAAGAGCGGGAGGAGTACAACTTCAATGGGGGGCAGTTCAGGTATGTCGTTTTGATATCGATTGTGTGTTTGTTTAGTACCTTCATCCGAGTCCTGTAATCACTTCAGGTTCAGACTGACGAAGCTTTTGGTTTCCTGATCCCTATGACTTACTCTCGTGATTCTGACATCCATCGTCTGCAGCTCATCCACTGGTCACTTTACACAATTGGTGTGGAAGAACACTACCCAAGTTGGCTGTAGTCGTACTCAGTGTAACGCCGGTCAACAAGGTGGTGAGGGCGATGCGCCCGGCTGGTACCTTGTGTGTGAGTATTCACCTGCAGGGAATGTCATCGGCGCGTTTGGCGATAACGTACAAGAGGCGGTACGAGAGGATCAGCAGCCCGAGGGACCAAACGCTTCAGGAGTGCCAAGTGCAGAGAGTGTTGCTGCAGGATTGATCAAGGTCAGCTGGCGGGCACAGTGGATTGTCATGATAGCAAGCTGTCTATGCTCTAATCTTATATAATAACAATGATCATCACTCAAATGGCAATGGACGCTGCTGCTGCATATACTCTACATGAAGGACGATATCAAAGACACGATCTGCAGATGCAAAAACAGCGACCATATACACGTCACAAGCATGACCCTGAGATCACCGCGCTGCCTTGGAGCTTGGGCCTCTCAGTCACTTGAGTGATATTGTTTACCGCCCTCCAACGCTCAATCCTTGGCGCACACTCCCATAATCTCTTCTTCCGCACCTTCTCAAATCTTGCCTTCGCTGCTTCTATTTGGTCTTGTCCTACAACAGCCTTAACCCCGTTGCAAGTCTCTCGCCGTATTCACCTCAGTATACCGCATCAGTACACGACAACAGCATGCCATTCATGTTCTTCAATCTTCCCCGAGAGATCCGCAACATAATCTACAAGCAAGTCTGGGCCAGCACGACTGAACAGGAGCTAGTCTGCCGTCCCTCAGTCGAAGTGTCAGCAGAGTACGCTGGCAGCAAGAAGCTCTACGCCAACTACCTCGTCACCGCCAAATGCCTTGCAACAAACAAGCAGATACTTTCCAAGGCTCTCGACGAGCTCCACGGCAGCGTCCGCTTCACCCTTTGCCGCGTACTTCTTAGCCGCAACGCGCACGACTCCCGTTATCTTGGCCTGCTCAGTGGACTACTTTGTCCCCTCAAGGCCAAAGACATCGAGTATATATAGCAAATTTGACACAGGACTCTTCCAGGCCCAGATCTTGTGTATAGTTTTGAGAAATTCTTGGTCATATACTGCCTTGTTGGAAACGACGCCAGGCTCATGGTGGCCATGGTGGGAAAGCTGATTGACAGCAAGATCCTGCGTACCTTTAAGTTGCAGATTATGATCCCAGGCCTCAATGACCTGCAGCACCGCTTCCCGTTTTACAAGAATATTGCACGTTTCAAGGACCTTGTCGAAGCTGGGTGTCGATTGGAAATCGAAGTGGTCACGGATCATCCGCGCGGTCAAGTGGAGACATATCCTGCTACACACCGTGGGTTTTTAGAGTTGATGGAGATGCTACGTGGCATCGCCTTTGATGACTCTGTTCAACTGTCATCGACATGTGGGCTAGTCATGGAGTCGACACAGTATTCTGAGGAGAGCATTACCAGTTCACTCGTACCCAATTACAAGTGCAACTTCACCTTTAAAAAAGCCTAGTGCCATCGCACCTTCTTGTATAGCTTCTTCTCATGGATCCGGTACTGTATACACTGTACAAATAGCTAAAATTCACAAATTTTTGTAGCCACGGCAACTACTACTTCTACGATAAATCAAACCCCATATATCCATGTCTCGCCACCTCCCCAATCATCTCATAGTACGCCGGCACCCCACCCATATACAATAATGGCTCCCTTGGTTTCCCCGGGATATTCGTTCCCATATACCACTACACAGCATTAGCATACTTCCACCAGCCTCAAACACCCGTGATTTAAACTCACAGAATCCACACTAGGTAGGAGTGACGCATATGCCAGCTTCAACACGAGCTGTTTATACTGCTCCTCGCTCTCCTTTTTGACTTCAATCTTCCGCAACGACTGACTCTGCATATGGCGCATCATTTGCAAGATCCAGTTCCCTTGTAACTCGGCGCACGTCGGGCCGTTGCAAAAGGCAGTAGGTGCTTGGGGACCGTAAGTGAAGAACAAATTTGGGAAGCCCGAGACGGCAAGGCCAAGATAGGTTTTCACGCCGTCTGCCCAGTAGTCGCTGAGGCGCTGGCCAGACGAAGCTCTCATGTCGATTTGACAAAGACCGCCTGTGACGGCGTCGTACCCTGTTGCGCTTATGATGTAGTCGAAGTCGTGTTCGTGTTCTGCGGTCTTGATACCGCGCTCAGTGATCTCCTGTATTGGTGTGCCCTTGCTACTAATGTCGACGAGGGAAACGTTGGGCCTATTGTAGATTTCGAAATAATCAGTCTCCAGCGATAACCGCTTGCAACCAAACGCATACGGCTGTTCGATAGGAGCAAGAATGTCTGCAATCTTCGGGTCGTGAATCCTTGCTCGTGTCTTGTCGCGCCAGAAGTTGTAGGCTTCGCGATTTGCGTCCTTGTCGAAGAGCATGTCGTGGTAAGTCGCGAACCAGAAACTGAAATCTCCCTTGCTCCAAAGCTGCTCGTATGTTCGTTGGCGCTGCTCTGGGCCGTCGTCAAACGTGGAACGAGGGAGAAAGTTGAAGTCGAATCCGGCAAAGCTGTTTGTGCGGCCGGAGAAGAGGTTTGGATATGAGGAATGTGCTGGTGCTGGATGAGAGGTATCGTAGTCGACTTGAAGCATCGGCAACGACATGTTTGGAGTTCTTTGGAAGACGGTAAGTTGACTGGCCACTTTACTGACTTCCTGGGCTATTTGAATGCCCGTACTTCCCGTGCCGACTACGGCCACTCTTTTTCCTGCCAGATCGACATGTTTGTGTGGCCAGTACGAAGGATGGAGAAAGGTGCCTCCGACAAGTTAGCAACGAGGGTAAGAAACAAGAAAGTAGGTAACCGACCTTTGAAGGATTCAATGCCCTTCCAATCCGGAATGTACCTCTTCGCCGCAAACCCAATACTAAGCAAAACAAACCTCGCTCTGAAAGTCTCTCCCGCCTCCGTCTTCACCACCCACTCTGCCTCGGACTCGACCCACGTAGCAGAGGAGACAAAAGTCTCAAACTGCGTATCTCGCCTCAAATCCCACTTCTGGGCCACATGCGCAAAGTAAGACCGGATCTCGTCGCTACCGGGGAACCTTTGCTTCCAACTCCAGTCGCTCCAGATTTCCGGGTCGGAAAAGCTGTAGTGCGGTGTTGAACTGTCTACGCGTGCGCCTGGGTAACGGTTCCAGTACCATACCTGTGTGTCCGAGATCAGTTCAGATTTCATGGCAAGAGTAGGTCATTGAAATAGTACTTACACCCCCGTAGTCTGATCCCTGCTCTACAAGTTTCACCTTGTAGCCAGCGTCGCGCAGTTTCTTTAGTTGGTACACGCCCCCGAAGCCTGCACCGACAATGAGCGCGTCGAGCTGGGCTCCTCCGGTCTGATCCTCGTTTGTGAGATTCTCTGATTGTCCATTCGCTGCTGCACCATTCGATTCATAAGTTGAAACCATATTGAGGTATCAGAGTGTGAAATGCAGTAGAGGTGAATGGGCAAGGCAGCAACAAAAGTATCACTGAAATGCAAATTGATCACGAACACCCTCGCGATAAATATGATGACAACAGTGTCTAGCCTGGGATGTGACCCAGCACATCTGGAATCTCGCTCTCAAGCAGCACTCGATATATGCCCGATATAGTAAACTGCTTCATTCGTACGCAACACCAAACACACCTAAGCTGTGCATACCAACATGCAAAAGTCAATTTACCCTACCATTGAAATGCCAAAGTCCCATACTGGTACGTCCTAGACGCACTGTAAGCCTGTTGTACGACATCAATCCTTTTAGATTTACCCGTCTGAGGAGCCGAGCCTTCCCGGTACTGTCGAATCCATGTGAAGTCATAGCCAGGATGGTTAGAATAGCATGCGAGCCTGACTTACCGGTAGCGCCTCTCCTTTGATTTGCCTTGGCTTGCCTGGATCTCCGCAGTCAGGCAGACTAGGGGTGTTGGATGAGATGGTGTGTACGCGAGCCGCAGAAACTAGGTCTTAGAAAGAGGGGAGCTATGGCAAAACGAGGACGTACCCGTGAATACCTACCAAGACGACAAAAACCTGCCTCATACACCTCCAACGCCACAGAAAAAGCACAATACCAGTGCAAAACACACCACACCAACAACCCCCAAACAAAATAACCCCCCACCCTCTCCCCTCAGCACACTAAACTCCCACATCCACTACGGTAAAAAATTGTTTACTGTAGAATGGTACGCTAGGGGTTTACTATATAGGTGTAAACTAACCTCGTGTATACCTGTAAATAGGTTTAAAGTAGTAGTTTACTTTTATAGTAGGGGTTTAAATTAAGTATAAAAAGTAGTTTTATTTCTATTATACACTATAATACCTAACTAAGACTAAAAGGGGTAGAAAAGATTAGCTTTACGCTATACGCATATATAACATAATAATAAGTCATGATATTTTTACTAATAGGAGGTGGTGATAATAGAGGTGGTGATAATAGAGGTGGTGGAGGTGGTGGTAGTGATGGAGGTGGTGGTAGAGGTGGTAAAGAAGATTAAAGAAAGGAGGGGTAAAATACTTAGATAGTTAGTAGGAAACTAGTAGATTAATAGAAGTAGAAGTAAAAGTGGAATAGATAGTATAGTAAACCCTATTTAGGTTTACTTCTTCTACCTAAACCACTTCTTAGTCTACTTTAGATAAATATGGCTACTGTAAACCGGTTTTGTACCGTAGTGATCACAACACCCTCGCACACTTCAAAGAAGATTTGGGCGAAGACAAATGGGTCCACAGCTTCCGACAGGCAGGAAGCAAGGCCGTTGCCATGTACGAATCGTGCATGAAGAGCATTGACCGGCTCACGCAGGCTATTCAAGACAGCCATGAGAAGCTACACACAACACCCCCCTGCCAAAACCTCACACCCTCCCCTCCATTACACTAACACACTCTCTATAGGAGTAGTACAAGACTAGTTTAACATAGCTATATTTATCTAAAGTAGACTATAAAGAGGTTTACTTTAAAGAAGTAACCCCTAGTAGGGTTTTAGTACTATATATTCTACTCACGTACACAACTTTTTAATGTATATTATTAATTTTAAATATATTAGTTAATAAGCATTATACTCTTTATTTCCTTTCCTTCTTATCTAGCCTCCTAAGCACGTATTAGGTACAATATCCCGCTTTTCCCTCTAGGGATCATAGGTACAGTGCAGAGTGTACAAGACTAGCGATAGCACTTTTTTAAAAAAAATAAGAATAAAAAAAATTAAAAATACAAAGAAAAGAGAAAGAATCTAGGTAAAGTAATAATACTGGTGTGAGTATTGTTAAACACGGTACTCCCACACACACAGTCAACCCCCCAAAATCTACCAAGCCGCCCCTTTCTTTCTTCTTCTACAAGAAAAGCACAGCACATCCAAATCCAACCGCATCCGACACCATATCTAGCGCGCAGACGAATCAATCTCACAACGGACAACAATGCGAATCCTGACTTTGCAGAGAGCAATATTCACAATCTTACACCCTCTACACATGTAGTAGCCCTATCCCACCTTCGCAATACGCACCCCCATCATCCTCACACCCCCAAAACACGCGCTAGAATAAATCAAGTTTGTAGATGCACAGATTAGGACAGCGCTGAACTGTAAACGAATTCAGATTGAAAAGAATAAATGGAGCAAGTCTATGCCGAATGCCTAGTCAAGGAAAACTGAAAAATTCGTGTTCTGAGGCTGTAGCTGGCACTGTACAAGATATAGAACACATGCGCTTCCCGCAACTCGCTCCTCCCACTTCGCCAATATCAGTCCCATGCCAACCGTCTATTGGTTCGTCTTGCCATTGTTGTGAGGCTTGGGCAGCTGGTCGAGAATGCTCTTCTGTTGTGGGGGGTTGTACATGAGTTTGCGGGTCTTTAGTGGGGCCCACTTGTATCTGTTTGGCTTGTCAGTATCCTATCTCACACCATGACCATGTGCCTTGCTCACCTCTTCACCCATACACTAATCGCAAACAGCACACTGGTGACAGCCAAGACCTTCCATCCCATCTTCTTGCGGTCGTCCATTTCAGGCTCGGCGGTCCAGTTCAAGAACTCGACAACGTCCTTGGCCATTTGCGAGGTCGAGGCCTTGGTCCCATCGTCGTATTCGACCAAATCGTCGTAGAGCACACGGGCCATCGCAATACCAGTACCGGGGAAGTAAGGGTTGAAGTTGAGGCCTTCTGGCACAACGGCACCAGCAGGTGGCTCCTCGGGGTAACCAGTCAACAAGTTAAAGATGTAGTCGCAGCCTCCGTGGCGAGCCTTGACCATGAGCGATAGATCCGGGGGCAGGGCACCGTTGTTGGCAGCGCGAGCGGCCTCGTCGTTCTTGTAGGGCGCAGGCATGTAGTCAGACAGCTTTCCAGGGCGTTTCTCAATCTCACCCTGGTCATTGGGCTCGGTGTCGTATTCGTTTTCCTCGGCAAGGGCCTTGGCTTCATCAACCGTCATGAGCTTTCCAACGAGGGCTCGGTAGGGAACGCGGGAGATGGAGTGGCAGGACGCGCACACTTCGCGGTAGACGAGGAAACCACGGCGGAGACTGCGAACGACTCAGTACGCCATCGACGTGCGGGGGAGCAGATGGCAGACTTACGCGGCGTGGTCAAATGTCTTGTTCCACTTTGTGTGCTCCCAGGGATATGGGGTTGGGTGAAGACTAGAAAGAAAGACAGAGGATTAGCGCCTGCTTGTGCCCACCCTTTCCGACCCATCCATGCCCACCTCCAACAAGATATGACATGACAGCGGGGGCAGCACTCACCCTTCTTCGGCGGGAGTCATCGCATCGACGTTGCGACCGTAGAGATGCCAGTACCAGGCAATTGAACCGACGGCGAAGGCAGTGGCACCAGCCGGGAGGGCATTGTGCTTCCACGCAGAGCCAGCTCCCTCGGCAGAGCTGGACGTCGAGGCAGAGCGCTACAGGATCCAATTCGTCAGCGAATCATTCAATGGGATAAGCATCCTGCGAGGGGGCCATCTGGTGCATTGCAGAGATGAATTCGCTGGGGGTGGGGGTCTCGGGAGAGCTGTGGGGGGGGGGGGGGGTGTATTTGTTTATGGGTTGTTCTGAGAGGGTGGAAGGTGGGATAGCCGGGAAGAGGCGTACCGAAGTCGTCTTGGAGGCGGCATTGCGAGCGGCGGCGCCGGCTGTACGCGCAGTACGCAATGCTGATCGAGCCAACATGATGATATGAGGCCGGCTCGGGGCAGAGAGGAGCGGACAAGGTCGGTCAATGGGGAAGCGGGGAGAGAGGTCGGCGGCGGTGGTGACAGTTTGTGGTGGTGTCTCGAGGAGTTGCCCGATCGCAACTTCTTCCTGGGGACTTGGCGGTCCGTGCGCCTACTCATCCAAATCCAGACTCAGCTGATTGGCCCACAGCCACAACGCCGTCAAATGCATGATGTTTGCACTTTTGGCTGTGGCATTCCATTTGCACCCCATATCCTCACCCTTTGCCTTTCGACAAGACCATGACTCTTGGCGAGAAACAGAAAGAAAGCAACATGCCTTGACACCCAGGTACCTATTCTACTTGGGCGTAGGTAATACTAGTGCCGCACAGCTCTGTTCTTTTCACCCTCCAACACTTCACGCCTGCACGACTCCCTCATCAGCTATACACTAGGTCTACCATCTATTGAATATTCGTATTCGGGCTCATCAAACGTGGCATTTTGTGCTTTGTGGCCAACATGACGGCCTATCCGCAAATCACCCTCGCGGTCACCCTCGCGGAACTCTTTGATAGCTCGCAGCTCCACATGGACATTCTCGATTCAACCTGGTTCAAAAATTATGGTCAAGTACAAGCCTTCCCGGCACCCGAGCCATTGCAATCTCTCTTTAATTCGATTGAGCTTCCTCATCCAGTGAGATTTGAAAGCCTGGGCCTCATCGTAAAATCTGGGTCACATGTATCTGTAACCGAGGCAATTCATCTTTGGGCCATGCACAAGCTCTTTCAAGATGTGATTTCCAGTGCCTGAATTGTATAGATGGAGAGTTGTTGAGCAAGGAAAGATGCGCAGAATATTCATCTACGTGCAACTGATCCAGGGGCCCACGCTTGAACAACACTGGCCTGAAATGCCTGCTATGGACAAACATGCAATCTGTAGCGACCTACGTGCTAAAGTGTCTTGTCTTCGCAGTCTCCAGGACAGTGAATCACAGCAAGTCATCGGTAAGCGTTTTAGGTAGATAGAGTAGGTAGGACGTCGCCAAATCCCTACAGGATATATATGCCATGATCCTGCGCCAGATCTCTGCCTAGAGAGTTTACCTTTGCCAAGGCCGTCTCCCTCTTGAACCGTCTTCCACGACTGGATGTCCTGGTTGTGGCGCAGGCATGCTCCTGATCCACGGAGCATTGAAGACCTAAAGCTAGGTACACAGCACATGCTGGTGGAGAGTGGCGTGGTTGGATTGATCAGTTCTTAGTGCCTCATGCGGAAGCTTTGGAGGCATTTGATTTCTACATGTGCGCACTCGGTAGATTTGAAGCTTTCCCTCTGAGGGGGAAGATTTGATTCTTGATAGCACGTCCATCTGCGTAGTAGTACAAGTGATGTGATGACAACTGAAAACAACGAGTGTTATATCGCCAGAAACAGGATCCATGATTTAGAAAACAACGAGCTCACTTTACGCAAGATAATGGCGTGTCCACAATGCGAGTTAGAACGGCAGGCAGACTGCAGACGGAACTGTAAAGACTGAACAACAGGCAAAGATCAGAAACCATGAACGCAAGCAGTGTACCAAGTCCAGTGGCGCAGCAGCCCAGCTCGGCTCACTCCTGCTACACCCATTTCTCACCATGCCAATGCCTGCATCGTCTGTGTTAGTCTCTTTGGTTACCCCACCTATGTGGAATAAGATACCATAGAGTACGTGTCGAGTTGACTTGCAAGGGCGGGGGCAATTGTTGACGACACAGTTGTGTGGCTTGTATGTAGCTGGCCACTACTCGACACCATGTAGCACTATTTCTATACCCCTCCACTCATGCAGGAATTGCAGAGGGGCTCAAACAAGTGCTGGAATTTGTCTCTAGCAAGGAACTGGCAGGATTGCCAGAACACACAGCGTCTCTGCAAATGGGAGATGGCTGGGAGGACTTCCTTGCGGTGAATGTAAGGAAGAAGAAGAAGAAGAAGAAGAAGAAGGAAAATGCGAAAATCGAGCAGGAAAATGGAAAATGCGGCTTGTTGTGTAATGGGCCGATGATAGGCCGGTGGAGGAGGAGCGTGCGTCGTGACGACAACGCTAACGCCGGGCTTGGGAAGCAGTTTGTCTCTTCCTGAGCCAGACTTCGATTGGCCAATTGCACGGCCTCGCTGGATTTTGTATATTTCAAGAGGGGGGCATATGCACGGTACTACAAGATCTCTGTACTCTAGGTACATGACGACAGTAGCTAGGTAGGTGGAGAGCACACGACAGCAGCAGCAGCAGCAGCAGCAGCAGCAGCAACACTTGCTCCCGAGTCGATGCACTGCTTCACACAGAATGGCGGTCGGCGCATCATGGCAAATGGCGCACCTCATGGGCGACGAGGACTCTCTTTGACAACCCGTTTGCTCTCTACCGGTACCATTAGCAGTAGCAGTAGCAGTAGCAGTAGCAGTAGGCTGCCTGCCACTACCACCACCACCACCGCCGCCGCCGCCGCCGCCGCCCTCCCTTCCCGTGCTGCTCGGCGGCTGCTTGTCCCAGTCCCAAGGCAATTGATAGACGCTCGCCGGAGTCAGAGTCTACCGGTACTGCACACCACCTGCACCCTCCAAAGCCCCCCCACGACGACCACTCTCGACTACCCCGCCGCCCTGTCCACCGCCCTGCCAGCCCAGCCAACAACCCTGCCAGCACACCTCCTCCTCCTCCCAAAGAACCCCCTTCTTCTTCTTCTTCTTCTTCCTCCTCTTCGACCCGCCCTCCGCGCCCCCAGAACCCCTCCCCCTCGATCTCCCCTCCACACCACCCCCGTCCGATACTGCTCCCATAGACGCAACATGTGCAGGCATTTTGGAGCAGAGGGCGACCCCGTCTCCGCCCTGTCCTCCTCCCTGGATGTGACCAAGGGCCGAGAGGTGCTGCCTACCAATGTCAAGCCTGTCCACTACGACTTGACCCTCGAGCCCGACTTTGACAAGTTCACGTACGAGGGCAGTGTGACGATAGAGTAAGCAAAAGTGCGCACACCCGACCCCCGTGGCGCTGCTGGCTGACCCAACCCCCTTCTCCTTCCCCCTCCACAGCCTAGACGTCGTCCAAGATACCACCTCCATTTCCCTCAACACCAATGAGCTCAAGATCCACTCGACCAAAGTCTTCGCCGACAACCACCTCATCTCCGACTCCCCAGCAGTCGCCTCAGACAAAGATGCGCAAACTACAAAGGTCAGCTTCGACCAGACCATCCCAGCTGGCGCCAAGGCGAAGCTCACCATGGTCTTCTCTGGCATCTTAAACGACAACATGGCTGGCTTCTACCGCTCGTCCTTCAAGGCAGCCGACGGCAGCACCACATACATGGCCACCACCCAGATGGAGCCGACCGATGCGAGGCGGGCCTTTCCCTGCTTCGACGAGCCCGCGCTCAAGGCCAAGTTCACAGTCACTCTCGTCGCCGACGACAAGATGACGTGCTTGAGCAACATGGACGTGGCCTCGGAGAAGACGGTCGACTCGAAGCTCTCGGGCGGGAAGAGGAAGGCGGTCACGTTCCACCCAACCCCGCTCATGTCCACCTACCTGTTGTGCTTCATCATTGGCGAGCTCAACTACATCGAGACCAACAACTTCCGCGTCCCGGTACGCGTGTATGCGCCCAAGGACAGAGACATTGAACACGGCCGATTCTCGCTCGAACTGGCTGCCAAGACACTGGAGTTCTACGAAAAGACGTTCAACAGTCCCTTCCCGCTGCCCAAAATGGACATGGTTGCCATTCCCGACTTTAGCGCGGGAGCCATGGAGAACTGGGGCCTCATCACCTATCGTGTCGTGGATGTGCTCATCGACGAAAAGGTAAGCGGCGCAGCTGTCAAGCAGCGCGTAGCCGAGACGGTGCAACACGAGCTCGCCCATCAGTGGTTCGGCAATTTGGTCACCATGGATTTCTGGGATGGTCTGTGGCTTAACGAGGGATTCGCGACATGGATGTCGTGGTACTCATGCAACGTCTTCTACCCGGACTGGAAGGTCTGGGAGGGCTACGTTACCGACAACCTGGCCGGTGCCCTGTCGTTGGATTCGCTACGCAGCAGCCACCCCATCGAGGTCCCTGTCAAGCGTGCCGATGAGATTAACCAGATTTTTGATGCCATCTCCTACTCCAAAGGTTCCAGTGTCATTCGCATGATTTCCAAGTACATTGGAGAGGATGTCTTCATGGAGGGCATTCGCAGATATCTCAAGAAACACGCCTATGGCAACACCGAGACGGGTGACCTCTGGGCTGCCCTGGCCGACGCTAGCGGCAAGGATGTGGGCAAGGTCATGGACATTTGGACAAAGAAGGTCGGCTTCCCCGTCGTCACCGTCACCGAGGGCACCGACTCCATCCACGTCAAGCAGAACCGCTTCCTCCGCACGGCCGACGTCAAGCCCGAGGAGGACCAGACGTTGTGGCCCGTCTTTCTCGCTCTGCGAACCAAGGAGGGTGTCAATGAGGATCTGACGCTGTTTGATCGTGAAGCAGACTTCAAGCTAAACGACCTCGACTTCTTCAAGCTCAATGCGGACCATTCCGGCATCTACCGCACATCCTACTCGCCTGAGCGGTTGCGCAAGCTCGGCCTTGCTGCCAAAGATGGTCTTTTGAGTGTCGAGGACAGGGCTGGTATGATTGCCGATGCTGGATCGCTCGCTGCTTCTGGTTACCAAAAGACATCCGGCATTCTGTCGCTCCTCGACAGCTTCAAGACCGAATCGGAGTATGTTGTATGGCAGGAAATCATGGGTCGTATCGGCTCGCTCCGTGGCGCATGGATGTTCGAGGATGAGGCTACCAAGGCTGCATTGAAGAAGTTCCAATTGAAGCTGAGTGCAGACAAGGCACACGAGCTAGGATGGACGTTCAGCGACGCGGATGGACACATTGAGCAGCAATTCAAGAGTCTCATGTTTGGCTCTGCTGGCATCGCCGGTGATGAGAAGATCAAACAAGCCGCATTTGACATGTTCAACAAGTTCAAGGCGGGAGACAAGTCAGCCATCCATCCCAACATTCGCGGTAGTGTGTACGCTATTGTTCTGTCGAATGGTGGCAAGGAAGAGGTCAGTTTATAATTAACTTGCAGTGAACCTGTGCTGATTAGTTACAGTACGACACTGTCGTCCACGAGGCACTCAACGCCGTCACAAGTGACGAGCGCAACTCGGCTCTTCGCTCTCTCGGTCGCGCCAAGTCACCTGAGCTCATCCAGCGCACGCTAGACTTTGCGCTTAGCAAAGATGTCAAGGGCCAGGACATCTACCTGCCCATCACCGCACTACGGTCGCACCCTGAAGGCTGCATCGCGCTCTGGCAATGGGTCAAGGACAATTGGGCGGAACTCGAGAGGAGGCTGCCTCCTAGCTTGAGCATGCTGAGCTCTGTTGTGTCCATTACCACCTCTAGCTTCACCCACCATGACCACATCAAGGATATCAAGGCCTTTTTCGAGAACAAGAGCACCAAGGGCTTCGACATGTCGCTATCTCAGAGCATCGATGCCATCAGCGCCAAGGCTGCTTGGCTGGAACGGGATACTGAAGATGTCGCTTCTTGGCTAAAGGAACATAAGTATCTTTAGTAGATGTTTGGACTCGGGTGTGAAATGGTCGATCACGCAGAGTCACAGATGGTGTTGGCCTAGCCCATCTGCTGTTGATGAAGAAACTTTAGATACAATAAAAGACATGTTCAATATACCTTGGTGTGGGCATCAAGATTTGATCTTTTCGTGACTCTAGAGACTGTAGCTTCATGTTTTGGCAAAGGTTGTGTAGGACCAGCGATGTAGTTCCCTCTCAGCTTTGTGGTCCGGTGAGGCGCGTTGCCACGTGAGAGCGTGCTTGAGCCATTCGCAGCCTTGAACTTCATCTTTGCGGGCCTCCGAAATCCTGCCTCCACGTTCACAACAGGCCACACCCTATCCCCACACAACATGGCCTCCAATGGATCAGAGTCGCCTAGCAAGGCAAAACGCTCGAGGACAGAAATGGAAGCAGACGAGCACCCAGCCGCGCCTGCGACAGCACAAGCAGACGGTATCTCTCTCTACCCACTTGGTCACATTGGCAGCCATTGCGCACTTCACTCTATACTGACCCATGATGGCACAGACGATAGCTCCTCAGACGATGACGACTTTGGCCCTGCGCTCCCGTCGTCCGCGCCCAAGAAAAAAAAGCGCAAGCTGCCGTACGAGAAACTGTACATTGCAGCCCTGCCCAGCGCAACACGCTATGCGAAATCGCTCATGCACCGCGAACAACTCTGCTTCACGACCTGGACGCCGCACACGGACTTCCTCATCACCAGCTCCATTGATGGCGTCGTCAAGTTTTGGAAAAAGGACTTTGGCGGCATCGAATTCGTAAAGGAGTTTCGTGCCCATGTGGGCGAGATTAAGAGCGTGAGTGTTAGCGCTGATGGGCGGAGTTTTGCGACGGCGGGCGTGGATAAGACGGTCAAGATCTTTGATGTTGTCACGTTTGATTTGCTGGCCATGTTGACGCTCGAATATGTGCCTGGGGCGGTGTGTTGGGTGCATGGACGAGGAGCTAGTTTTCCGTTGCTGGCAGTGAGTGAGGAGGAGCAGAGTTGGATTCGGTTGTACGATGGGAGGGGGGAGAGGCTGGAGCCGTTGGAGACGCTGAAGAGCGTGCATCGGGCGCCGGTGGGATTGATGGCGTACAATGCGAGTTTTGACTGCGTCGTCAGTGTCGACACGGGCGGCATGGTCGAGTATTGGCGGCCGAGTGGGAGCTACGAGAAGCCGGAGAATGTGTGGAGTCTGAAGAGTTCGACCAACTTGTTCGAGTTCAAAAAGGCAAAGTGCGTTCCCACGTCTCTCACCATCTCGCCCGCTGGCACGCAATTCGCGACTTGGAGCTTCCCTGACCGGAAAATCCGCGTCTTCGACTTTGCCACGGGAAAGCTGTACCGCACCTACGATGAATCCATCGAGACCATCACAACGATGCAGCAAGCCGGCACCGCAGTCCAGCACCTCGAAGACATGGAATTCGGCCGACGCATAGGCATAGAACGCGATCTCGACACACCCTCGCTCCGCAACCGACTCAATGTCATCTTCGACGAGACCGGCAACTTCCTTCTCTACGGCAGCATGTACGGCATCAAAGTCCTCAACACCCTCACCAACAAACTCGTCAAACTCTACGGTCAAGACGAATCCCTCCGCCCCCTCTGGCTCTCCCTCTACCAAGGCCAACCAGACAAGAAACGCGTGACCACCGTCGAAATGGCCGCCTCTGAAAACCCCCTCCTCCAAGAAGCCGAAGCCCGCGACGCCATGCTCGTCACCACCGCCCACACAAAACCCCGCTTCTACATGTTCACAAACGACACCCCGACCTCCAAATCCTCCCGCGACACACTCAACGAAAAACCCCGCCCCAATCACCCCTCCACCTCCAACACCTCCACCAACCCAACCCCCGCCTCTGCCACAACCGCAACCCTCCACACCACCCTCGGCGACATCACCATCCGCCTCTACCCGGCCGCCGCCCCCCTCGCCGTCGAAAACTTCGTAACACACGCCCGCAACAGGTACTACGATAATGTGCGCTTCCACCGCGTCATTCGCAAATTCATGATTCAGACTGGGGATCCGCTGGGTGATGGGACGGGTGGGGAGAGTATTTGGGGCAAGGAATTCAAGGATGAGTTTGTGGATTGGTTGAGGCATGATCGGGCGTATATGGTTAGCATGGCTAATGCGGGGAGGGATGGGAATGCGAGTCAGTTTTTTATTACTACGGAGAGGGCTGTGAGTTTTTTTTTTTTTGGTTTCCCATCTATCTTCCCCCCTATACCCTCATGAAAAACCCCGTCACCATCCACCATCCCCCATCCCCCATATCCCCCATATTCCCTATCCATGATCCATCCATCATATTCTAACCCCACCCAGCCCTGGCTCGACGACAAACACACAATCTTTGGCCGCGCAATTGCTGGCCTTGACGTTGTGCACAAGATTGAAAATGTCAAGGTGTACAAGGAGAGGCCGGAGGAGGATATCAAGATTATTAGTATTGATGTGGAGTAGGTGTGGAGGGGAAAGGCGCAGGGGAAAGGGGACGAGGGAAGAGGAAAACATGCCACACGTATTATAAACTACAGCATACAAGATCTAACCAGCAGCCAAGCAAATATGCACATGAAAATGAATAAACTATGGTATCTAGCATCTTCCTACCATTCAACCTCCTCCTACTTTAACCTCAATTTCAACTTCCACCTTCAACCCCTCACCCTCAGATCCAAACGTGGAAAAACAAACTATAAAACCCCGTCTAAACCCCATCACCAAAACGTCATCTTAGCAGCCACCCAATCCGTAGCTTTAAAAAACACATTATGTCTGTAGAAGAAACTCCTGCTCTTTTTGCCGAAGATGTCTGTGTGAATTGGTTAGTCGAGTGTGATGGATCAATAGGTTAACCAGCAAACCCCAAAAAAAAACACAACACAACACAGCAAAGGCAAAAAAAACAAAGACAGAAACAAAACTCACACATGGGAATTGTAAGCGCACAGACGGCAATCTGGACACAGCCAACGGCAACAAAGACGTCCTTGATGCTGCCGGATTCGACGATCCAGTCGAAGCCTTTGAAGGTCAGGGCAAAGGAGAAGATGTTTTTGAAGACGAGGTTGCAGGTGAAGCCTTCGACGGACATGTCGCCTGTTGGTGGTTAGTGTGATCTTGAAGGAGAGGGGGAAGAGAGCGAGGGGAAAAAAAAAAGGAGGAAGAAAAGAAAAAAACCACTGACGATGCGCATCAACAATATACAACGCACTCCCCACCGCCCCACACACCATCCCCATGACCACCAACGCAAAAAAGAAATCCGGCCAAAACCAGCCATACCTCTCCGCATCATCACTCGTCCATCCAAACCCCACGATCCCTGCCCCTCCAAACACCATCTGCGGCACCACAAGCACCATTCGAAACTCGGGCTCATACACCCCGTTGTTCAGCCGGGTGAGCAGATTGGCACTCCAATCGCTAATGAGGCCCGTGAGGGCGAAACCGAGGAGGGCGCCGATGAAGGCGCCCGTGTACATGTAGCCGGTTTCTACTTCGCCGAACCAGAGGGGGGGTCCGAGCATGATGCCTGCGAGGACGATGCCGATGAGGACGGTGAAGCCGATGAGGGTGCCTTGGATGAGGCAGGACCAGAGGATGCCGGGGTGGAGGAAGAGGGAGAAGGGGCGGAGGAGGAGGTGGAGGTAGGGTTCGTTGGTTTGGCGGCCGTTGGTTAGGCGGAGGGTTTGGAGGTAGGTGTGTTTTTGGGGGGTGGGGTTGGGGGAGTCGTGTGGGTGGTTGTTATTGTTGTTGTTGGAGGAGGGGGGTTCGAGGACTGGTTTGTCCATGGGTGTGGTGATGAGCGAGGTGGAAGGGGAGTGGCCCGGGCTAATGGTAGACGCCGTATTATTATTCGACATGTTGCCGATGAAAGTTTCAAGATCCTTGAGTTCGCGGCCGTCGGGTGCAACGAGGTTGCCCATTGTGTCAATGTCGAACCGGTTTTCTCGCCGGTACGCCGTCTCGGGCACGAAGAAGACGACGAGCGGGAGCATGACGCCCGTGAAGATGGCGACAAAGTAGAACGTCCAAATGTAGCCTATGCGGTCGGCAATGACGCCCACCAAGACCGGGGTGAAGAATGCACCGCCAAAGACGCAAAAATTGGACAAGGCCATGCGCACACCGCGCTCGTGAACGTGGTAGAGATCGCCGACGGACGCATTGACGAGGGCTTCAAAGGGCGCGAGGCCTACGCCCTGGAAGATGCGCGCCCATAGAAAACTCGCGTAGTTGTTTCCCGTTGCGCCGCCCCAGACACAGCTGACGATGATGATGACGGTGCCCAGGAGATAGACATGGCGTTTCCCCCAGATCCTGGCGCTGGGCACAAAGAGGAAGCCTGCGACTCCGACGCCGAGGAGATGGTAGCCTGTCAGCAAGGCCATGTCCGTGAGGTTACGGCGAAAGTAGAGGGCGAGGGAAACGGTGTTTGCAGCGAGGATAGGGGAGAGCGTTGCAGCGATCACGGAGAGGAGGGAGAGGAGGAAGATGATGACGTCTCGTTTCCACAGTGGCCAGTTCTGATGTCCAGGTTAGTATACATGCGATGAAGAAGAAGTCCTCCTCCCACTCATCACCACCCCAGCTGGTCAAAAAGCGATTTCCAAGGAGCGAGAGAGATTTGACGCACCAAAGGGTCATTTGGGTCATCACTTGGCTGAGGCACCAAAAGTATGGTGCCCGTCTTGTCGTACTTCAAGCCCATGTGTCGCGCAGCCGTCTGTTCAATCGCCCTCCTCTCATCGCCCTGCAACACATGCGCCGTCCCAGGAACATGATCGAGCTTTGTATCCTCGAGGACCCCGAGGCCCATGGTGGTGGGTGGGGAGTACGGTACAGTTGGTGGTCTCTAGCAGCCAAGTACCGGTAGCCGTAGTCGAACAAATGAACAACACACGCACAGGGCGATGCGACAATCAATCAACTCACACAACACCTATACAGACACGCAAAAAGGAGGTCGTCAAGTTTAAGAACAGAAGCACGTTTCACGTTCGCAGAAGAAACGGAAGCCAGTGGATCGAGGTAGCCCCGGATTCGAGAGTGAATCAAGTCGAGGGGGGGGAGACTTGACCGGGGTGAGCCGACAAATCGACCATTGGCTCGACTCGGATTGGACGACCAGGTCGAATCTATGGAGATTCTTGGCTGTGATTGGCTGCGAATTGCGCCGAAATGTGGCCAATGGGATCACTTAGCGGCCGATATACTTCCGGAGTCGAATTTGGCCGACGTTTATTAGTTTCCCATGCGGTCGATTGGGAGTTGTTGAGATCATCATCGATAGCATAACTAGCAATATAGAATAGGTATGCTCGCAGCTGGGCTTTTGCACTGCAGGCCTCTGTTGCATGCTGTCAAAGCGGTCTGTTGTACAAGTTACCTACTAGCATAGACCATTAGGTACCGGTACTTTTGTTGATTCCACGGCGTTCTTCACCTCACATGCGGGCCGAATCTCTCTTCTCCAACTCGCGCGGTGTTCATGAAACGTTGGGATCTGCGACTTCAACATTAGGTAATCGGTATTATGGGCACTGCAGACTGGGCAGTCATGTACCAGTGGTGGACAGAGAAACCATGGATACTGTAGAAAGGCGAATCTCATGACAGTGGGGATGGATATCGTGGCCAAGTGTTCGGCCATCCAGCATACCGGTATTACAACAGAGTCAGACGCACACTCTCGAGACCTCTCAATCCTAGAAGTAGATCATGTTAGACTATATTCGTGCACCATGGAAAGTGGTGGTCTGAGAGATCGGCAGCGCTAGCCAGGTGTGTACCCACTGTACTTGAGCTTAACAACAACAACCTCCAGTTCACAGTACACACGTGACAAAAGCCAAACACCCGAACCTCTACAGCCCTAACCTTACCATACTTCAGGAAAGTACAGTATACTCTTTGAACATGTGTCAACGCGGGAAACGAAAAAACAATCCCAATCTTAACTTCTGTCTACCAGCAGCTAGACAAGACCATCCACCTTACCGGTAAACTCTCCATCACCACTCTCGGTCCCACTCTTCATATCAACTAAAAAAACCAACACCGAGCCCCTCAAGAACAAAACCCCGAGACCACAGCTCAACCCACCAATCTCCAGAGACTTTGCCGCACCAATGATCACCCACTAAGCCCACCTCCCAACTCATCAATTCTAACAAAGCGCAACACACACCCGGCCCGAAATCCCACATGCAGCGAAACCACACGCATGCGAAGACGGGCAATCCCTGTCCGTCGCACAAAACTGTATGAAACTGCAGTTGTCAATGGTATAGCAGACGCCATCATACGGGTTGCTGTCGTCGCGTTCGATGCAGGCGCAATTCGGGCACTCATGAGGATGGTGGCCTAGGGGATTGCAGTAGTTGCCGCTTTAGTTACCGTGGGTTAGCTTGCGTGTGTTATCGATGGTGGACGGGACATGCCGTTTTATAGCTGACGTTGGGGTGGCTGAGGGTAACAGTGTCGGTACCCTTGACGATAGAGAAGGTACATTGGTAGTAACCAACGGGGGAGCTACGGTCGACACTGAAGCACCCGTCAACGCCCCAGCTTCATTCAAGACCAAAATGCCCAACGAAGCGGCAACAAGAGGAGTCCCAGATGCAGCAGCAGTTGGTCCAAGGCTAACCCCAAGCCCAACCCCAGAGGTAGCATCAGCTCCCACACTAACAGACGCACCCATTGTCGACACGAATTCCGTAATCAGAAAACCCAAGAGGATTGGAAATTGCAGAAATTGCAGAAGAAGTAGGAGCAAAACCAAGTCCTACCAAACACCGGCATCCCACCATTTATCCCCATCCACACAACAACGCCATTGTCTCCCCCCTCACCATAGGCACTACCACCGGCCGAAGACTATCCAGATCACTTCATTCT